CTCTCTCTCTCTCTCTCTCTCTCTCTCTCTCTCTCCCTAGCTCACTATCTCTCTAACTATCTAGCGCCATCTTCCTCGTGGCTGCGCATCCAGGCAGCAGCGGAAACCGTGATTCTCTGTCGTATTTTCGACACCAAGGTGGTGCAGGATGCGTATATATAGAAAAACTGATTTGTGATGCAATTCGGCGTTGTACATATATAATATAACGATTTTTTTCCCGCTCGGGATTCGTGGAAACGCAGCGAGAGATCGGCCGTGGCAAAGACTCACTCGTGCCAATCTGCGAAATGCGAACATAATGTCGTACAGTGAAGACTTTCTACTCAGGAAGTTAGTGACGCGAACGGCGTTTTCGAGAGGAGCTGTGTTTTCCTGCTGAGCCATGTGTAGACACGAACTCACGAGCAGGCCATCGGCTGCTTGCTCTAACTGACTATAGCTAGATCTATAGCATTTGGCTTTACCTTTGACGTAGACACGATACGCATGGGCTTATCCTGTGATGGCAGCACATTGGTGTTCGCAATACGCTGTTATGTGTACAGGTTAGATTTATATGGATTGTAGCAGAAGTAGATAATAGGGAATAATAGGATAATAGTTCCCTATTATCTACTTCTGATTGTAGGTATATCTCTAACTATAGGCTTGTCGGTTGCATGCGTGCAGGCGGCAGCACCAGCGCGCGTGTCAATCACTCGCCCTGTTTACGACTCGTGCGACTCGTGCGGTTTTTTGCCGATAGATGTATAATTACCTATCACCGTCTTTTACCTACTGGAAGTACACCTTCCTATAAAGTATTTTATTCTTGGCCAAAATTTGTACAGTATTTGTGTATAAAGTTTGATGTGGAGGTAGTGCGGTTGCATCGTACGTACTGTTTGGTGGCGGCGGTGAACGCGCGGCAGCGCCCCCCCCCCCAGCCTACGTAACCTTCACCATCGTGCGCTTACATGTCCAACGTTGCGCGAGGTTTGCGATTTCTTATCTCAATTTGTTACAGTCTCATGCAGTGTAGTGATCGGACGAGATGTTGCGTAAATGGCAATGCGCAGATGTGTAAAGTTTTTTTGCGATGGTAGATATTGTGCCATGCTGTAAGAGGCTGTTATATACGTGAATGTATACTGGCTACTAACTAACATTCGTCTAATCAAATTAATATGAAATACCGGGAGAGAATTGCCATGGGGAAATGTCCTAGCCCAGCAAAACGTTATGCAAACACCTAGTATACAACGTTGGTTGCCTACACGTGTGTAAATTTTCCTAAATATAGAGGTCACCGGTAGCTAACTAGTGTTCGGTTGAGCTAACTAAGTCTGTTTTAAATGACTAGAAAATACACATTACTATTTATTTACTAGTTATTTTAAGTTAATTTATTAAGTTATTTACTAGTTCGTTTAGAGGTCATTTCGTGTGCCTCGAAATACGTTTGACGATTTCTTTGATGGGGAATCCGATGACATGCTATCGTGATGTCATCGTGCAAAGTTTGCTGTCGAAATACTCGCGATTCAACTGTTAAGATTCTTTGTCGTTAGAAAATAATCTGCCGTACGTAAACTCGCACGATGTTGAGGAGGCCTTAGTTGCAACTGCAAAGAGTGAAATAACAGACTATTTAAGTCGTAGCTCGGTGCCGCCCGCTCTCTGTGAATAAACCTATGTTAGCTCGTAAGTTCTTGCAATGAAAATGTTACATAGCATGTTTATACGACATTGTGAGGCTAGCTTGCATGCGTTTGTTATGTGATATTTCTTCATAAGCTCCCAGTGCGCGCGCACGTGTACGACTCCGCCACATGGAAATGCACGCCTGGAGTGTTCTAATTGTTTTTGTTTTGTTACATAATTAATCTGGTCGATCGTCTGCTTGGATTGGGCGCATTTGCAACGCCACCTAGCGTCCAAGAACGCACGAGTGTGTCGATTTCTCATAACTGTCCGCAAGATGGCTAGCTGGCAAGACTGGTCGTATATAACAGCCAGGGGCTGTGTTTTTGGGGACACCCTCGCACTTTGTGCCATAGTGTCCATTTCTTTAGCGACTATTTGTTTAAGCGGAATAACACACTGATATGTAGGCGGTAGGTGCAGGATTGTTTAGTCGACATTTATAGCCGGATACTTGATCGGTGAAATTAAATCACTTGAAAAATTATTATTCGTGTGTTATTGTAGTTTTTACCGTTATTTCGACATTCTGTGATGTATCAATATAGACATTTCTGCCATCGATTCTGTTTCTGGTTGTGCTGCCCTTTCTATTTGATACAAATGTATTTCGTTCTCATTATTTGATTTTTTCATTGGTTATGATCTCATTTGTAAATATAAATTTAAACATATGGTATTATGTTTTGTATTTGTTGAACATACATTAAAACCGTTTTGAGCAGAAACGCATTTTTGGACGAGATATTGTTCTGTTCAATAGAAGTTACATATAATAATGAGGGGCTCTGCGGCACTGATGAATTTGCAACATGATATATAATTATATGACATACCTATCAATGAAAATATATTATTTATATATTAATGCCTGTTGCTGGGGGCACTATGAGAGCATAGTGCCCCCAACAACAGGCATTAATGTTTTTAGTGCATCACATGACTATGCAATCTACTTTTCATGCGTATATACCTTCTTTATACTCCCTAATTTGCCGGTGCATTCGATGAAACAAAACGTTCGACACAAACACAACCGCCGTTCGAAACTCTTGCGTGGCGCCCAGACGCAGGAGATTCGTGACGTGAACACAATGCGTTATAATAACAATGCGTCGCGCAAGCAATAGTGCCCGCTCAGGCGGGCACTATTGCTTCATAGTGCCTGCTGCGTTATCCAATAGAATTTCAACGATTTATCACGTGATGCACTAAAGCATAATATCATTTATATCACACAGATATCATATGGTCTTATGGCGTCCAATTCTGCTCAGTTATTGCTTTTTCCTGCCTAATGTTCAATAACCGGAAAGTTCAGTAGGCAGTGGCCGTTGATCGATTTGGTTTAGGTAATGAATAATGTCTCTCATTATTCAAATTTTAATCAAAATTCTAGATATTAGTCGATGCATTAGCGCTAGTGAGCTGCAGGCCTAATCTAAATAATGAACGTAAGTGCACAGTATTGAAATTGCATGATCAAAATTCACCAGATTACAACCCAGTTCTCTAAAAAAAAAAAAAAAAGCTGGGATACCCCTCCAAATACCCCCATCGCGTATTTACCCGCCTATCCCTTCTACATTTCTAGGATTTGCACGCACGCACGCACAGAGAGAGAGAGAAACATCTGTATAACAGGTTTAACAGTTCTCATTGTTTTTCATTGAATAATCCGTCGCAACGTATTCTCTTAGTTTTAATATATTGCATATAATAATAAATCGTTATTTTAATTAATTAATTAATGAATGAATGCCATCAGAAAACGCCTTTTTACATCTGTAACTAAGATCTATCTTAGTTGAATTAGAATAACGTCTACACATTAGGAATAATATATAAGCAAGTTAACCGGAATGCAACCATGCATAGGCCTACTTTTTCAAAATCGGCGTGTGACACGCCCACAATTAACTCTTCCCCACTTCGCAATCAAAAGTTTCCTCGCCCACTTCAGAACTATTCAAATCGATTCTGTATGCATATAATTATTTCCAAACAGATGTGACGCGATTGACTGAGCTAGAATCAATGACAGGAAGAGATGGACAGTTTTACCGCCTGACTCGCTATGTTATAATTGTCACTATCCACTTTGGGTGCTTCTGGCATCTATAGTATAAGGGCCAACACGTTATCTAATATTGGTTACCGTTGACGACCGAGTTCCTTTTATCAGCTCCATTTAGCAGCCGAGATCGTTGTGAATAAAATTTTGTTGCAATAACATTTTAATTTTAGTTATCATATATATATACCCACCAATCATTAATTATAATGTGCCGAGTTGTACCAAATTTCACTGTAGTTATCGTCGCGGGAGACCTCGATCTGCTTGCGCGTGCCTGGTTTCTCCGAAATAAAATAATTTAAATTGCTGTGCTGTTTGTGCTGTTAAATTGTGCTGTTAAAATTAATCACGTTTAAAGTAAATAGCGAACACTCGTCGCTGCCCATTAACATGAAAGATAAAACCCGATGCCTTTCGTTAAAAGTCCTATTGTGCTCTATAGCTGTCGTCAGACTCACAGTAATAAAATTTGAATCAGCTACCTACTCTTGTTGGGTTACATTATTGTATCCAGAGAGACATGATACAAGATTGCGTGGCACAGCTTTCCTGAGCGCTGCGCGCGGATGAGACGCGTACTTCCGCGGGATATGCGCACGCACCCTCCGCAGTGGAGACGTGCGCCAAATTCGAGGCCCGGCGCTCGTCTCCACAGCGGTCAGCGGATGGTCTGTAGTTTTAGAAAATAAGAATGAATACTTTGGTCTAAATAAGAACTATTGGCGGCTAAATAATTAAGAGCAATATACAGACCTTTGAACTTCTTGACTAGTCAGTCAAATGGCTTGTTGGGGGTCCATTATGCAGAGCTTCCAATTGAAATGGCCCATGAAATTGTCACGTGGAATTGCATGTGTTTTTCGGACCCCCCCCCCCAAAAAAAATGTCTCCCTCTTACATGATTACATGCACCCCTCCCTGATCAATCACGCATTCATGCGTAAACAATAACAGAGATGAGATTGAATTGGTCTTCGATTTTCTGTGTTCTTCTTCTGGTGTCACCACATATTCAAGCCCTATATGTGCCGAGGAAGGAACTCGTCTGTGTGTTCGAATGTGTTGATCTTGGTTAGTCCTTATAAGTTTCTGCTCATACGAACTATCGGACAACAGAGAAATCAAATATTCTTTGATAAATCTGTCTAGACTTATATCTCCAACTACCAACTTCACTCGCCTTTCCGTCATTAATAATTAACGGTACATGGCCAGCAGGTGGCACGCATGGCACGGGACGAGGCACGAACTTGTATGTTCGAGGCGAAGGTGCGGAATAATACAAAATCGATGCGATATTCGATAATCTGTAACATTTTGTTAAGTCAAAAAATACGTACAAACGATTGATAGCCACTATTCTCTAAAGCACGGAAGTAGACAATATGAAAATGCATTTTTGAAAGATTCAGTTCAGTCATTCGAACAGGCGCGATTATTTATATGTTTCGTGTTTTGTTTACTGCGCGGGTGTGATGTGTACCTCCCGCTGCCAAGGAAACAGAAACGAGGTTTGAACGGATTTGTGTGGACGTACTTTGTTATTAAGTGTTTATTTGCCAAGTTACAGTAGTTTCCTGCCAAATACGTTTAGTTATACGTAGGTTTGTGTTTAATGAATACATTAAGATACCAATAAGATCAACATTTGACTAAATTAGAGGATGTAGTAAATAAGATTAATCCAAAAATTCCACGTTTACGTTCAAGTTGGTTCAACGTTATACTACTACTAGGCCTATAGTACGTTACGTTACGTAACGTTACGTTCAAACTGGTAGAGAGTAAATACCTCCTCCTCCTGACGCACATAATTACTACTACTACTAGTGTTATATTACTACATGAACGTATACAGTCCACGCGACTAAGCCCAGCTCTATATTTTAAACCCCTTCTATATACTGATACTGTGATAGTGATAAACATGCTAAAGCCTAAATACTCGCGAGTAAAGCAGAATGAAATCCTAACAGTAGCTGAAAGGGTCTATGTCCCCCGGGGTACTGCCGGAACGTACCCTGGGTACGGTCCGGTATACCGGAACGTACCCTGGTACTATCTAATATGCCGAACCGTACCTCCCCTACTCCACTAACGAGTCTAGGGAGTCGCCTACGCCTACTCCCTAACCCTAACCCGAACCCGAACCCTAATCCTAACCCTAACCACATATCAAATAGTGACCAGGGTACATTCCGACAGTTTCCTATAAATTCCGTCCAAATCCTACGTGCAACAATACGCTGCCAGCGGCCGTTGCTTTTGCGGCGCGACTGTTGCACGCTTACACTTATATATATAGTGTAAGCATGCAACAGTTGCGCCGCGAAAGCAACGGCCGCTGGCAGCGTATTGTTGCACGTAGGATTTGACAGGAAACTGTCGGCAATAATAGGTGAAAGAGAGTATAGAAACATTAAGAATTTGGTAGTAAATAGATTTCGTATTTAGTTAGCATTATATTTTATTGAAAACGCTTCAAGTGCCTGTGCTTAATACTATTACTATACTATCCACTCTGTAATTTGACTGTTAAGTGTAAAATATGCTAAAAATTTAATTAGTAATAGTTTAATAGATAAAAATGATATAAATAGTGTCAGATATATATGCAACAACGTTCTTAGTTGATCCCTTAAATTAAAAGGATGAAATTCTTACATTAATTAGCTTACATTTTATGACCATCGTAGGCTGTGGTTAGCCTGCATTAAAACAATATTGTTTTATTGGGAACCTACCATATTCATACGATGGCACTGGCCTATATTAAAGGCTCACAATGTGCATCCAAACGCTAATTTCTACAGTACTAGACTAGCAAATACTTCGTGGCATGAATAATCACACTACCTTATGACAAAATAAACTCTAGCTCCTCCAATTTCACTGCGCGTTGTCTTATAAAAGGTATTTTGAAAATACCTCCAATGTTGTTGAAATTCTCCGATGTTGTTGACAGTTTCCCCAATCTCCAAGCAACCGTGCAGCGGTGGCCGCGGTACAGCGGTACGGGCGCAGCGAAAGATAGAAACATGTGACGTCCCAAACCAAGTCGTTGTTATGTTGTTTGAAAACAAGTTAGCGTTGCGCGCTGATTACCTGATTTCGCACCTCTTTCTTGTTGGGAACGCGCAGTCAAATGGGAGGAACTAGAGTTTATTAGCTCATCTGACATAGTCAGATGCAGCTTGTAGAATGGCCATGATCGTCCGTGCGTCCGTCGTCCGTCCGGCGTCCGTGCGTCCGTCCGTCCGTCAACAGTTGGGCAAAATCTTAACGCCCGGACGTACGTCAGCGATATTCGGGTCTTGGGGGATCATCAAACGAGTTGGGATGTCGAAGCTGGGGGTCAAAGGTCAACGGTCAAGAGGTGTAAAAAAAGGGGGAACATTCACTCCTTAACTTAAGGTATAGGGAGGAATGCAGAATTGCGGCACAAATCTAAACGGCTCGACCTAGGCTCGTGATAGTCGGTGTATAGCATCATGGTAGGACACAGCCATCACTGTGCAGAAATTGGAGGTCACAGGTCAAGGTCAATGGCACAGGGCAGATTTTAGACATTTTCTGAGGACATGGTCTGACGGAGCGATTGAAAACTTTTTTGTTCAGCGTGACCTAGCATTTTTATGGCTTTATTGAAAGGCATTGAAATGTCCCTTCTCTGCTGACATCCGAAGAGTAATGTGTCGGATAACCTTTTGACCCTCAAGAGGAGGGGTTAAACATGCGATTTGTTGACTGTTAACAAAGGAGTGAACTGCTTTTGCTATTGTGGATGTGAGGCTACCAGGTTGCACTAGTTCAATTGCAAAGGCAAATGTTTGTTGAACAAGGTTTATGCTTCTTAAATCATATTATTTTGTGATGAAATACTGCAAAGAATTGATTTACAACGTATTTTTTAATCCAGCATGTGTCATACATGGTAACTATACCGGTGCCTCAAAAAATAAGTCTTTTTTTGACTTCATGTGGTGTATAGCATGAGCGAAAAATAATATGGTTTTACACATTAGCTGTGCATGTTGTGTAGCCCTGTTTCATAGCCAGTCCATTCCCAATGGCTATGTCAATCAAAAACCACCCACCCATATTCTTGATATTATGGGGATGACTGAAATTTTGTCAGCTGCACTAATAAAGAGTCATGTAAAGTTTATTGCTATTATTATTGTTATCATCATTGGTATTTTTAGACAATATTTCATTTCATGAAAAATGGCAGATTTTGAGTAGGTATCTACTTGCCCCTTGTTCCTAACTTCAATTGTATGGAGGGACCACAATTTAAAAAAAAAGTTTCACCCTATATCCTTAAAAATTTTAATATAAAGTTTGAGTGCCAGTCATATGTATAGGTGATTCCATGGCAGTTCAAAGCAGAAAACTTATCTCATTAATTTGTAATGGCATGTAGATTTTTGTGTACTGCATTTGTTGACTAAATTACATGGCTCTTAATTACATTCACTATTAGTCTTTGATTAAAATGCAAGTGAATGTAACCATGTAATACGTTTAAATACTGTTCCATTATTCAGTCTACCTTCATTAGTAAATTGAATGTGAGCTAATAAATTATACATGAATGTGCGTACTTGCTAGCTGGATTCATTGCTGCTGTGCAATTTCTTGCGATTCGTTACATTCGCCTGCCACATGTTGGCTAGTGGCAATCGTGGTCTGCTCTCTTCAGTGCAGCGATATTTGTGTTGTGCTCTCTATTCATCTGTGTAAATCAAATTAAAACGTGTCTCTGTTCTGTATGTGTGCGAGTGCGTGATTCGTATGTGATTACATATATTTATTGTCATTCTGTGTAAATAGAATCTCGCTGAGGAGTCGCCTAACGTGTGTATCGAGAATGACGATTTATTCACAGTGCTGTAATATAGGCAGCGGCTGTCTTTCGTGTCAGTGCTCCGACATTGTTTTTTGATCAGCAAGCATCATAACAGTGAGACGTTATGTTGCACATAGGATGAAGAAAGACAATTACCTGATGAGTTATATTTAGTATTGACTGTGCATGATGTGATCTACATCAGATGCTGTTAGATGAGTGCATGTGTAGTTTTGGACTGTCCATCTCAAACGATCACGACGTCTTTTCCAGTTCTGATATATTACGACGTGCATGACCCAAGTTGCAATGGTCAAATCGAATGATATTGACAGCAGTAGCTCGAGTTCTGACTCGGAAATAGAAGATGCATGCACGTCGGAGTCTGGAGCTGTGGTTGCTGTGCCTGCAGACGGTCATCTGTCATTGGTTGATGAGATAACGCACAGAGAACTTCCAAAGTGTATCTATGTGCAGCCAGAAGGTACTTACTATTGCTGCTGTAGGGAGTTACACCAGAAATGTGGCATTTAACGTGCAGTCTATGTTGATCTTTAAATTTACAGTGTACAAAGGAAAGTATGCATATGATACTATGTTCCTAATAGCAAGAGTATATGAGACTATATATTATACTAAATATTAGAAATGTAGTATTATCAAATAAATATGATTAATGTCAAGATCTGATACTGTAATGTGTACCGATTTATTGATTAATAACTATCTCGTGCTCTCGCTCTTGAGATGTTGGAAACACGGTCGCTCAACTTTTGTGCTGTATCACAAAAATTCCCTCCATTTACGTAGTTAATTATTAAGTGAGTATATCCTTTAAGATGATGAAGAGGAGGAGGAGGAGGGTGAGACTGTTCAGGGTATTCTGAGGAAGTCGTCATCGGGCTTGGTGGAGAAGGATGATGAGCGCACTGAGAGGAGGCACTCTGCGGCACATCACTGTTTGTCTGCATCATCGTCGACGAAGAAGAAGAAGAAACGTAAAAGGAGACTCGGCATCTGCCTATCGAACTGCAAATACGATGTTGGTATGCTGTCAGATGTGTGTAGATTAGCAAGCCAATAATAATTATGCAGTGGTGTGATTTTTTCGTTTTTTTTTGGTGGAATACCGCTTTTTTAACAGCCCCGGGTCGATTTTGTGAAACGTCCAAATTTGTAATAAAAATTTAAATTTTTTATTAACTTATTAACTTAATTATTTTTTATTTTTTTTAGGTAACACGTTAAATATTACAGAAATAATTTTCACTCTAGACTGGGACTAAAATTAGTAGCAAGAAAACTGTAATTTCAATGTTAATTCTAGATGCCAGGAAATGGCTCAGATTGCAGGAAAATGCTTCCTTACCTGTGCGGCCAGGGGGGTGGGTACTCACCTTTTTTGTGGGTAGGGGTGCTCCATCTAAATTGGAAAATTGAGGCAAAAAGATGGCTCGACGGTGAAAACATGGGGCAAAAAGATGGCAAAGGAAACGAAAAATGGGAGGCAATAATGTGGCCCATATATATATACGTCACTATGCGGGTACCACACCCCCCACCCCATCCCCGCCTGGGTGGGGGGCTTAGCCAGCCCCCGGGCTGTGGTTTAAGTTTTTTTTTTAAACCCCAGCAATCACACCTCTGATTATGGTAAATAATAATGATAATAATAAATATAAAATATAAATATATAGTAAGCCATCAAACTCCGTGAGACCCCGTTCTGTGCTCTGTGTGCTATCCGCCCATTTCTGCATGAAATAGAGACACATTCTGAGCTTGTTCTGCATATCTGCATATCAGGGATGAATTATGACAAATGACTCATTAGTTGTCACAAATCTGTCAGTATTCACCCCTGCTGCATACCTATGTAAGCGGGTATATGCATCACTGTTCGATATACGATGGGCGATCGCTTGTGTGCCGAATTGTGATATGCATACACCGCTATAGAAATGTGTGTGTGTCGTATTCTTCACTGACTCATGATTGATTCATGACAGTTGTTGCTGCTGCTACTGCTGCTGTTGTTACTGCTGCTGCTGTTACTGCTGCTGTTGCTGCTGCTGCTGCTGCTGCTGCTGCTACTGCTGCTTCTGCTGCTACTATTGCTGTTGC